GTTAATTTGCATACCCACTCCTGATTGGCTGGTGGGCATGGCTTGTGGGTGTAGCAGAGGTATGGTCAATTTGCATATTACTCTTTTATTAGGATATACATGTATATCCTATCTAATAAAGAGGGAATATGCTAATTGACCATCACACCCTCGCAAATATGGTGGGGTCCACAGCCAATAAGGAGGGAATATGTTCATTTATTGCCATACCCTCAAAGATGGCAGCACCCAGTCCCCTCAGCCCCACTGCGGCAGCAGGCATGTGGCACAGCCAGGTCTGCTCCTAGGTAGGTCCAGCCACTCTGCATGCCTGCCTCTGGAGTCCCCCAGTCCCCTCAGCCTCCCAGTTGCCCAAGGCTGGCCTCAGGGACAACCAAATGACTGAACAAGCAGGCTGCAGGGGGTGACCAGGCCAGTGGTGGAGGCCATGAGGGGTGAGTAGCCTGGCAGGGGGGGGGGGAGGCAATTAGGGGCAACCAGGCCAGCAGGGGAGGCTGCTGGGGGTGACTAGGCTGGCATGGGGAGCAATGAGGGGTGATTAGACCGGTTGGGGGGGGGGGGCAACCAGGCAGGCAGGCGAGCGATTAGAAACCAGTGTTCCAGGACTGTGAGAGGGATGTCTGACTGCCAATCTAGACAGGCAGGCAGATATCTCCCAAGGGGTCCTGGATTGGAGAGGGTGCAGGCTGGGCTGAAGGGACCCCCTTCCCCATGCATGAATTTCATGTACTAGGCCTCGTGTGTGTGTGTGTGTGTGTATCTCCAAGAATAGGCTAATCTATGCGGGGGAGGGGAGAGAAAGCTGAATAAACTGCTCCAGGGATTAGACTAGGAGACAGGGCATGAAGGAGCATTCTATTCTGAGGTCACAGTAACTTGTCTATCTTAATATGATTTGTGTTACATGAGTGTTACATTGTTAAAATTTGTTAAATGGTATTAAGTTATGTGTGTTTCACTCAAAGTTATCTTTTACCTTAAAAACATTAAGTGCAAATATTAAACTCTAATTAATGATATGGACACTGAAGTGTTCAGGAGTGAAGTATACTTGAACTTACTTTGAAATGCATAAAATACAGTGACTTGATGGATGGGCAGATATGGTATAGGAGCACTTACTGAACAATTGTAGTTTTTTAAGTTTTTTCATAGTAAAACACTGAGGAAGAGGGATATGTGCCTAATTCTTAAAGGTCTATTGTGAAACAGGGGGTCACAGTTGAAAATTCAGGAATTAAGAGACTGAGCTTTGAGAGCCAAGCAGTGCAAGTAACTTTTGCCCTTCAGCACTAGGGCAAAGCCAGCTGAACAGTTGGATGCCTTCCAAATAGAACAGCATGTCTAAGGTGTGAGGCTGTAAGACCCCTGAATAAACAACAGGCTGCACACACGGAGAGCTCTGCTGTGCACCTGTAGCTGCTGCTGTGGTGGTCGCTGCTGGCTCAAACAGCTGCCCCATCCCAAGTGCAGAGGACATGGACTTCCACACCTCTGTCTCTAGTCACACATTTCCTCTCCTTTTGCGCCTTCCATTTCACTGACCTTTGGTTCCATTACCATCCATACTGTCCTTCCCACCTTAGGGAATGCAAATGCTGCGGGTCCCTGCTGGTGAGAAACTCTCTCTCCTACCCTTGGTCCCTCGCTAATTTCTGTTCACTTTTAGACCTCAGCTTCCGTTGGCCCACAGACCACACTGGGCACTTCCACTCCACCCCCAACTAAAGCACATGTGAAACGATCCGTTACTTCCTTTGACAAAATTTGATGTCTCTCTTTCTCCTTAAACTAGAAGCTCCATGAGGGCAGAAACTGGCCAGCAGTGGACTTGTACAGGACAGTAATGGCTTACCTTCATAGCACTGTTATAAATAAGCCCAACCTTTTAGGGTTAAAAGTGTAATTTTATTTAGATGTTACTTGTACATAATCTATAGTAAGATATACAAACAGATAAAAATTGCTTAACAGAAATTTTTTTAAGACCACTTTTAATTTAATTTACAATAGCATTGGTAACATTGCAGGATGACAGATACTCTGAATAGAAAACAAAAAGTCTTTGTTACTCTGGCTGATACAGTCCCACTAGCCTTTAATGGATTAAAATGTATCATGTATTTCAGCTGCAAATTATTACAAAACTTTCACAACCTAGCCACAGAGTACTAAGAAAATATTTTGATATTCTAAAAATTTACTAAAATGAAAATGTCAATTCTTTAACAGTATACTTTACCTAAAGGAAAATGTAAGAGTACCAAATCTTATGGTTTGGTTTTGGTCTACAACAGAAAATCAATCATATCATGTTTGTTTCACTAAAATGTATGACACTGATCTTCTCATCCCCTCTGCCTAACCTACTAATATGAAAGAAAGCTTGTAAAATATTAAACTAAAATATACATGGGAGGGAAGACTGGGGACAATTTAAAATAACCTTACAATAATATATAACTACTTTAAAATGTAAAATTCATAGGTATGAAATAAGCTTTTAAATGTTCTTCTCCATTTGTCTTAGTAAATACTTATTGAAAATGAAAACTGAAAATTCAAAATATTCACTTTTTCCTTTTCACGTAATACCATGTTAGAAAAAGTCTAAATTTAAATTTTAGAATCAAATTTATTGAGAAAAATATTGCAAAAATAATCTAAATTGAATTTTAGTCCTTTGCCATTCTTTTGAAAGCTACATTACACATCAGGGCAAAAGCTTTTTCACTAGTCAAAAAATCAAGTTGAAAATAACTTGTTGATTAAACTATAGGCAACTAGTAACTAATAATAGGCCTATAAATAGTTATGAATAAAGTACCACTGATTTCACCGTAATGAGCTATGGACAGAAGAAATCCTTACTTAGATAGTAGCTTTACGTATCTTCTCCATCCTGAGAACAGAAAGGACAGGAGAAGCAAAGAAGCATCACCCAATGTGAGTGCTAGAATTACACAGGTCACTCCTACTCCAAAGTACAAAACCCCAAATACTGCATAAAGACAAAATAAGACTAAAAAAATGGTAAGTCCCAAGAATAATGCTAGAAATTAAAGGTTCATTAATAAATTATTTCTTCTATTGAATAAAATTATGGTGAGAACCAAATGGTGACTAGCTCCAAAATACAGAAATTCAAAAGTCATGTGCTGATGAAAAGTCTCGATGACCTGGCAGAAGCGTGGTCTTGGAAAGGGGGTGCAGACATGAGGCTTTCAGAGTTTCAAAGTTTATGTGACTGAAAGCCAGCGTACAGGCCTTCTGTGAGGACCGCGTACAGGCCAGCCAATGTCCGTGCTCTGGGGCCGGCTGACTTCCTCAGCTGCACTCATTAGCACACTCCTTTAGCTACAGTCCTGTTCACATCCCTACCACCCACCCAAACAACTCTTCCGCTAAAGAGTCCTTCCCCATGTCTGAGCGTCACTTGTACCTGCCGCTTGTTGGAAATGTGGGGTCTTGGTACAAATTCCTTAGTAAGTAAAGTGTCTTAGTGTTTTTGTGCTGTCTTTATAGTCAAAGCCTGGGTGTTTGTTTATGCTAGATAAGCAGTTATCCTGCATCCAAAATTACAGAGCATACGCTCTCATTCCTGAGTCTCCCCACGGTTTGCCTTCACCAAAAATATGACCCCCATGGGACCGTGTGGGGAGAACCGTAGGAAGGGAAAGGTTACAGGAACGTGACCTGCTACAGCTACAGGTCTAATCTAACCTGAGGTGCTTTTTAAAATGTCATTGCTGACGACAGTGCGAGGAGAGAACCCGTGCTTCCAGGACAGAGCCAAAGCCCGCTCCTGGGATGGATCCCTAACCTGGCCAGCACAGGAGAAGCAGAGAGCTCTCAATGCCTACATTCGCCTACACCCAGGCTTTCAAAGGTCAGACCGAGGGCGGTGGGGTGCCGTCTGGAGCACTCTCTACAGCGCACAGAGGAGCTCCCGGGAAGCAAAAGGCAAAGGTCTCCTTCGCACTCAGAGCCCACACTCCGCAGCTCTGCCCGGGGAGGCCATGGCCCCCAGACCGCGCACCTGGCCGACGCCCACACGGAAGGGCTGTCGAATGTTTCGAGCGTCATCGCCAATGGCCCCAGAAGGAAAAAGAACCCTGTTCTTCATTTTATTACTACTGAGCTGCTTACCTCTCACAAAAAGCATCCACAAGCACTGACTAAATGCCCACTGGACTCCTGCCTGAGAAAGCCCTTCCAATTCCACATTTTATAAGAGCGTGCAGAGGAGTGTATTCAACAAAACATTCAAGGTCACAGAATGTACCACTCCAAGAAAATGAAAGCAGAAGCATTTGATTCTCCTTATTTGTCAAACCTTTCTCTCTGGAACCAACTTCTTCTGAAACACACACACACGAAGTTGAAACAGTATCACTTACTGATTGGAAGACTTGGACGCGTAGCCATATTTTCCGGCATATAAGATGACCCCCTAATTTTACAGTTAAAACATAGGTTTAGGCCTATATTCGCTGTATAAGACTACCCCCACTTCCGAGGCAACACCAGTTCTTTTTTAATAGACCGCCTCTCTGACTCTGGCCAATCTGAGCAGGCTTTTTACTAGAACACAGTGTCGTCTTATATGCCGGAAAATACGGTAATCTTGCTGAGGCCTAACACTAAGCAGTTTCACAAACACACAGCAAATCTGCAGAATTATAAGGTACGAGTGAACCCAAACTGCACTGAACACTTTCATGGCCAGGAAAAAGGAAGTCAAAGGCTGTTTTTAGGACAATGCAATAGTTACAGCGTCATTTCCTCAGGTGCAGCATGATTTTCTATGTGTAGTGGCACTTAAGTATTACACAGTAAATACTGAAAGAACCCAGAATTTTTGGATGTGCAAAAGCAATTATCACATTATTAATACAAAAGTTGCTAAGCTACAGGATTATAATACCACTATTCGGGTTGTTGAGACCACTTAAAATTTTCAGTTCACTTCCAACACACGGCTTCCTGGCTGTCCCGCCTCAGTCAGACCAGTCATTTTCGTCCAGCTCCGAGTCATCGTCAGAGTCGCTGTACTCCACGGCAATGCGTCTGGACAGGATCGTGGCCACGTCATTCCCGACCGGCTCACGCTTGGCTTCTTGCTCACGCTGCTCTTGTACTTTTTTTAGCTGAATTCCTAGAAGACACAACACATAGTTTAGAATTAAATCCTTTTGCTTGCTCCAAATTAAGGAAAAACAAACTAGTAAGTCTACTTGACTTTTTTTCTTCTTCTATTGACACTAAGGATAAAAACAGTTTTGGAAATTTGAAGGGAGAAAAGCTTGGGAAACAGAAGTTTCATGACTTAAAAAAAGAATGTACATAACTATTTTTACAGCAAAGTAATGGGTGGACGGACAACTTTACAGAAAGCCCATGAGCTGCACTGTCCAACACAGCGGCCACGAGCCACAACAGCTGTGGCCACCCCGCTGGACCGTGCACCAGCAAACACTAGGCATTTCTATCATTACAGAACACTTCCCACACAGGCTTGCTAACCTGTTGAGGTAACTGAGAAAACTTTGCTTAACAATTATTGTTAAAAATGGATATAAAATAAAACCATCTGTTCTCTTACCTAGTAATGAAAGGGATCATGTGATGACTTAATGTGTGAATTCTTTAACTTTTTCTTCTGAATTAATTTCAGATTTATAGAGTAACAGTAACACTAGTATCAAAACGTTCCCATATGACATACATTCAGATTCCCAATGGGTAACATTTGATCACACTCATTTCAGCAATCTTTTTTTTTTTAATTTAATTTTTATTTTATTGATTTTTCACAGAGAGGAAGGGAGAGAGATAGAGAGTTAGAAACATCGATGAGAGAGAGTCATCGATCAGCTGCCTCTTGCACACCCCCTTCGGGGGATATGCCCGCAACCAAGGTACATGCCCCCGACCAGAATCGAACCCGGGACCCTTCAGTCCCCAAGCCGACGCTCCATCCATTGAGCCAAACTGGTCCCGGCAATCTTTATCATTATTATTAATACACACAGATACTTTTTTTTCTGGACAATTTAAAAATAAGTGGCATATAACTTACTATTTTGCCCTTTACCCCTAAACTACTTCATGTGTAATTCCTAAAAAACAATTATCAAATTCAGAATATAAGCATAGATACAATGCTACCCTTCATTCTATAAATTTTATTTAAATTTTGCCAATAGACCTAATATAGCAAATGAAACAAGTTTCCATCAGTTTTGGGATTCAATACCAATCATCTATTATATTAGTTGTGGTGTTTCCAATAATGATTCTTAATCTAGGCGGTTCTTCAGCCTTGGTGTTTCATGACCTGCAGTTTTGTAGAATGCTGTCGATATGGGCTCCTCAGAGGTTTTCTCATGGACAGATATTTGCAATTATCACTCTTCCTGGGCAGGGCTCACACTGTCAAAATCAAAACACTGTCCTCTTGTGACCCCAAATTTGTTATCAACGAGCATTAAATAGCTGTTTTTCTTAACAAAATCAAAATGCGTCAATGACATTCAAGACAGATGAGAACCCTGGAATCTGCAGGGGGCCTGACCCCTGGTGCAGAGGTCCTCAGCGTATGAGCAGCTTTCAGAGTATTTCCACGTCCCGGCGGTGACCCCAGCCGCTGAGCTGCGGCCGGGGGCAGAGGATACATGGTGCGCAGCAGGCGTTACACGGGGCTCTGCGGGGAGGCCGGTGGGGGAGGCCCTGATCTGACAGAGGCGCTCTACCTTCACGGTTCATGTTCTGGGGCTTTGGTGTAGGACTTCCATCTGACAAGAGTTTTGCTGCTATGTAAATGTTGCAAACTACTGGCTTAGCATATCAAGCTAAAAATATGAAAAGTCTAAGACATATTAAATATTTATAAAATATCACTAAAATGAGCTCATTTTCTTTCATTTATACTTTTACCATTAGAATAGAATGCAGACAAAATAGTCAATGTTTATTTCTAGTCAAGTAAACCTTTTCTGAATTCTTGGTTCTTTATCACGTGCTTGCTTTGCACAGGCAAAACCACATTGCTATTTTTTAAAATGTCACATAAAGCTTTAACCACATTCTAAAAACAATCTGGTGCGGCAAGTAGTCCCTTTAAGACCAGCTCTAGCTGGTTGGAGACAAAAGTCTCTTTCTGATTGGAAGATGGCCCACGTCGGGGATTCACTTACCCATTCGAATAGCAGCAAGAAGATCACTGCGAGCATCGCTTATGGGTGGTTGTGCAGTTTCCTGTCGTTTTGCCTCAGCTACGGGAGGGCCATGCATGGGGGAGGATGAGAGGGAAGAGCTTGTGCCAGGAGGGCCTGGTGGGGGTGGTGGGGGACCCGGAGGAGGTGGGGCTGTGACCACCAGCCCAGTGGAGGGCGGGTGAGGGGGCGCTGGGTAGGAGGACCCAGCTGCTGCTGGGAAGGAGGGCTGCGTGGGAATCTGGAGAGGACTGACGAAAGCAGTTTGTGCTGAAGGGATCATGGGGGGTGGAGGGGGTGGAGGTGGTCCCGAGGGGTTGTAATATTCAGTGATCTGGGCTGGGATCATCCTGTTAGAGAGAAAACACAGAGTCATTTAAGCAGCAACAGAGGGTCACACCTGAGGCTCTGACATGCCTAATAGAAAGCCTCTCCCAAACACAATACATATTGTCATTTGGATTTAAGACACTGCAGGATGCAATATCCACTGCTGGGTCAGTTATTTCCACAGGTTTACATTATTCACTACGACAGTTTATGATCATTCACTGAAATGCATCCAAAAGATAACCACTCGAAGAGGAATTTCCTGTGAAATGCTAGGTAAGAAAGCAACACAAATATATTCTTTACACTGGGCATCTCAAACGCAGGTGGCTCACAAACTTGTCTTATAAGGGTCCTGTGGCAGTCAGATTTGGAAAATTCTGTATTTTATATCTCATCTCCATGGAAATTCCCCAAGCCTACAATGCCCATCAGAATATAAAAAGCTTTGAAAAGTCCCACAGCCAAGAAAGCTGCTGAATTCTATTAGTCTAAGGTTGTCCAAACTAGATGGACCGCAGACTCTCTTTACCTGACCCCTAGAGCCTCAGAACAAACTTTGGGATTCCTGACTTTGCAAGAACCAGGGAAACAGCCAGAGCTGAGTGGTCAGGGAGGATGCCCTGAAAGATGAGGGATGTATGTTTAGAAACTGGTACATGCTGCTCTGGACTGAAGAACACGTGGTAAATGGAAACACACATTTGAATTTCCTAGGCACTGACTGCCTCTGAGGGGTAACTCAGAGCGCCAAGGCAGCCTATGAAAACACAGGCTGGTGCCTAAATTACCAAACACCCCAAGATGAGGGTCCTTCCCAGGGCCGTGTGAATTTCACTGATCAACAGGAAACAAGGTGGGAGAATGATGAGTGGGCAGGAAGAGGTCAAAAAGGAGCTTATACAGCCAGGAGTAAGCACGGGGCGCTGCACTGCACAGTGCTCTCATTGGCGGTATGACTTCTCCCTGTTCACCCAGGATATATACAGAAATTTCAGGATTTGGGGCAGGTTCACAAAATCGGAGTTCCATTCTTTATCAATGCCTCTGCTTAACGATCCACTCACACATACACAAATATGTGTTTTAAGGAAGTATACACATGAATACAGACACAAACCTGAGTTTTATCTGTAATAAGAAAAGGGAACAGCATAAGACTATATTTTTTAACCAATAGTTTCCACATTCAGTCATTCTGGGCTGTACTCTGGCCTCTAAAGTATGACTATTTAATTAAAATTCTTATACACACATAGCAAGATTCCATTGCATGGTGAGTAGCAATCAGAGTACAAAGAATACCAAATTACCCATAGTCTGCTGGAGCCATGGGTGCCGAGGCCTGGGACCCCTCTGCGGCCTGTGGTGGGGGTGGTGGAGGTGGCTGCTGAGGTCTGTTCAGGGCCATGTGTCTCACTGACGCAGAGGGGGGTCGGTACTCATGCTCGGGGGCCTGGCTGGCTGGCCCAAGTGGCAGCGCGTCACCTGCTGCGTATGAAGGGGTGACAGGCTGTGGGTGCAGAGAATGGTTGGGAGTGGCTGGATAAGAATAATCTGTGACATCCGATGCGTGAGACCTGGCATTCAAGAAAAGGGTGGGAGAAATTGAAGTTGAAAAGATTTCCACTAACCAGCACATAAGCATATATTTGAATAATGACATTGCCAATACACAGAAATCACACATTTATTTCCTTTACTGTAAACTAGGTCCAGCCTCATGAGAGCTTCCAAGCAACAACGTAATGACTACGTTAGCAGCGAGCCTGGTGTTACATGGAGTCAGACTCACAGCTTTAAAGTGAGCAAGTCAGACAGATGGGCAAGCAGGACCAGCAGAGCCCCATTTCACACCATCTCAGCATACGGTCTTAAGAGAAAAGGCCACGAGACAAGTTCCAATTAATTCAAAAACAGCACCGAAGACAGAGGACTTCAGTGGCCAGGAAGCTGATAGCATATCATTAGAAATTACAAAATGGCAGATAAACTGGATAAATATTAACAGTAAGAACAGAAAAGGCAAGAATGCAGTACAGTGAAAAATTGTTCTCTTAAACAGAAGAAATGTATTTAGCCAAAAATGAAAGAACATGGTGCAATATGGAAGGGCCTTCCTGCTTCCTCTGAATGCAGTCATGGGCGAAATGCTGAAAAGGATGGAGACTGTATGTTAGCTGACAGAGCTCAGACAGACAGAAGCCTTCGTGAGGGGGCAAGGGACTTGTAAAGGTCACAGCTGCACAAAATGGTGTTAGTAAGGCACAGTGGTGCTCCTGGCCCGGTTACAGAACACGTGGTCAGTATGGGGGCTGCATATCCTCTCATGATGTCAAAGCGGGCGGGCAGCCTGAGGATGGCAATGCAGAGAGCAAAATGACAAACCCGCTGGGCGTTCTGTCCTCTTTCGTGCTCCCTGCCTGCTGCAGTGTCCTTGCATCACTCATAAACTCAATGCCCATTTTCCTCCTCTCCCACTCTTCTTTTCTTGTTCTGACTTTCCTCACATTTATCTGCTGGTTTCGGGTAGGATTCAGCTTGTGTTTCTCTCTCTGAAGGAAACAGGCAGACATACATGGGATGTGGAGGAGGAGGGGAGACACCAACTGAACTTGGATCTCAGAATCAGACAGTAGCTTCCCTTAACTGGAGCACCTCAGACATAAAAAAAAAAAAAAAAGCTTTCTACATGATGAGAGACTGTTTTCCCCCTCCTAATTGCAATGTAATAATAATAATTCACCTTTTTATTCTCTAATTGCAGTATCTATATATATAAAACCCTAATATGCAAATAGACTGGGCGGTGGAACAACCGGTTGCTATGATGTACTCTGACCACCAGGGGACGAGTGCGGGTGTTGGCAGCAGGCAGCAGAGCATGAAACATGGCGGGCATTGGCTGCAACAAGTGAGCGGGGTGCCGGTTGCTGTCATCGGGGAGAGCCTGTGGTGATTCTTTGCTCCCATGTGCCACAGTCCCACCAGGCACTCACACCTGCTGCCAGCACCGGTCCCACTCGCACCCACTGCCAGTGCCAGAGATTGGCTTCTCTACCTCCCCCTGCTCCTGAGGGACGATTGCGGCTGGCAGCCACCTCTCACACCCGCTGTTGGAACCATGGCTTGCATCTGCTGCTGGCGCCAGTCCTAATCATCAGCAGGTGCAAGTAGTGCAGGCACCATTAGTGCATGGAAGCTGCAGCGGCAGGAGCAGGGCTGCTGGCAGACAGGGGGCCAGGGCCCATGGTGGGAGGAGCTGGGCAGGGACCGGCCCTGTGCCCATTGCAGCCTCGCAGCACACAGTTCTTTTCAAGATGCACAAAATCGTGCACTGGGCCCCTAGTAAATTCTGTATTTAGGTGTGCATATGATTATATCTTTTGAACTATGCAAATTGCTGGCAAGTGAGTTAAAAATGTTTTTAATGGGGGAACAACCTAGCATATTTTTATAATGTAAATACCTAAAACCCAGGAGTCCTTGGTGATATATGTTTAACTCTGTGTATGTGACTACGTTATATGCTATGTGTACAATTTCTAAAGGAAACAAAGTGACCTGGAAAATATAGAGCGCTTCTCATGGGAGGAGGAGCCAGAAATGATGAATATTCTGGAATAATTTAGAGTGCTATCCTTATACATAGCTTTGTGACACAGCCAAAAGGAGTCAATAAAAAGGAGGAAAGCAGACAGATGAGTGAATAAAGGAACAGGCAGTGAATATCTGAATTTAAGAATTACAGTGGAGAGTTGTGGAGGGCAGGACTGGGAGGAAGGGTGGGCAGGACAGAGGACTGGCTTAAGAGTGAAGGCTCATTTAAAGGGGAGCCCAGTGGGCTGGAGGAGAGGTGAGAAGTGGGGTGACTGCTGGAGACAGAGACCTCCCAGGCAGGAAGGTAGAAATCAGCTACAGAGACACACACCAATGTGGAGATGTGTGGACTGGTCCTGTGACTGCCTGTTATAGGAGAGAGAACTGGTAGGAGTGAGATGATATGGAACAGGAAGAAAGGTAAGCAGGAGAGACTTGGTGGGAGAAGCCAGGGACTCCCAGGGTTTTGTGGGTGAAGAGGTGGGCAGAGTCAAAGCTGTAATACAGCGCCCAGAAGAGGATGAGAAACAGCACAAGGACAACTGGGCGTGGAGGTCTCACGTCTTCCAGATCACAGTGAAAGAGAGCTATGGGGAAGAATTTAATCAATTTCCACCCTGAATTTATGCTTAAAATCAAACCACTGCTGATAATCTACAGAGAGAGCAAAAATTTATGATTAGTTTACATGAACCACTTTTTATGTACAAAATATATTACTTATACGAAGTTTTATTATATACAAGCCATAAAACTTAATATTCAAAATTCCCTCAGTTACTTAAAAGCTGTGATTCTAAATAATACTTAAAATAAGAATATAAAACATTAAAAAGTTAAAAGGCAGAAAGTATAGAGCATGATTCCAATTTTGTAAACAAAAAACATATACACCTTTACAGTAAAAAGATAAAAAGGAAAAAGTACACTAAAATGCAAACAGTGGTTTCTCTGGATAACAGGATTATGGATAATACTTGAATGTTTTCTGTAATTTCCAAATATAAAAAAATTATTTGATAATAAGAAAAAGTGGTACACTTTAGTAAAATAAAAAAATTTAAATTAATTTAAGGGATGTAATCCAAGTGCAATATTAATTATAATCTATTTATCTGGGACATGCATATAGTAAGAGGTCATGAAAAACAGTATGAGACAAAAGGAAATTCTAAAGAAACAAAACTGATTAATCAATTTGCTTTTTGAAAAATAAAAAAGTAAAGATATATCTAAAAACATAAAAATTCAGATACTAAATCATCTGAATGATTTTATACCCAGTATGAAACAATCTAATCTTAGATATTAGAATGAGCATCAACTATTCAACTGAGGGATTAAAAAATTGTGTTTTTTTTTTTCTGTCTGTACATATTGAAATAAGAGTGCAGAGTATTATAAAATAAAGTATATGTTTTGCATGAATAAACAATACAACTAAATTAGCTGGGGAAAACGCACACAAAAAGCAAACTGACATATTGGGAGCTCTCAAATTTAAGTGCTCCTCCCACCCAAAGAACTATGTGTAGAATTGTTGACAGAAACAAACTGACATAATAGATGTACCAGTTAATAATGCGGATTTTTTTCAATAGATGGAATTATATATATGTTGAGATATATGCAATTTGATATGTATGCGATTTTGTTTTATTGACACAAGTTTCAAAACTTCATATGTCAAATTTGCTGAAGGTGTTAACATCATAGATATTTTTGCTTAAAAATGTTGAATTTTGTGGCAAAAAAAAGAACATTTGTGGGAACTTTTAATTCATTACTTTATTTTGAAGAAAAAGTTATTGTATACTTGGGGAAGCTAATGGTGAACATGCTCCATCTCAAGATACTTGTGAACGCTGGTTTAAACACTTTAAAAGTGATTATTTCAATGTGAAAGACAAAGAACGTCCAGGTTAACCGAAAAAGTTTGAAGACCAACATTTACAAGCATTATTGTATGAAGATGCGTGTCAAACTCAAAAACAATTTGCAGAAAGATTAAACATTGTTCAGCAAACAATTTCCAATTGTTTACAAGCAATGGAAAATTTTTTAAAGGAAGGAAAATGGGTGCCATATCAACTAAGCAAAAGATAAATGGAAAAACCTAAAAGTCATCAGTAAAATGTTGCTTCAATGGCACAAAAGAAAGTCTTTCTTGCATCAAATTGTGACTGGCGATGAAAAGTGGATTTATTTTGAGAATCCCAAATGCACAAAATCATTGGTTGATCCAGGTCAACCATCAATATCGACAGCAAGGCCAAATCACTTCCGAAAGAAGACAATGCTCTCTTCGTTTGGTGGGATCAGGAGGGCGTGGTGTATTATGAGCTTCTAAAACCAGGTGAAACCATAAATACTGATCACTTCTGACAATAAATAGTCTATTTGAACCATGCTTTGATCGTGATTCCAGAAGACACAGCAAAGTAATCTTGCTTCATGATAAAGCACACACTTCAAAACCAGTTAAAGACACGTTAAAAGCTCTTGCCTGAGGAGTATTAACCCACCCGCTGTATTCACCAGACTTTGCTCCTTCAGAGTACCACTTGTTCTGATTGGTGGCACATGAACTTCCTGAGCAGCACTATAAAGCATACGAAGAAGTGGAAAATTGGGTCTCTGAATGATTTGCCTCAAAACAAGAAAAGTTCTATTGGGACAGTATCCACAGATTACCTGAAAGATGGAGAAATGTGTAGCTAGCGATGGACATTACTTTGAATAAAGCACTTTTGATGTTTCTCTTAAAATTATCGTGTTTTCTTTGATTACAAATTCCGTAATTACATCTAGTAAAGATCTAACCTTGAGATAAAGCTCAGTTAAAGCTCTAACAATTCTCTAATATTTAGCAGATAACAAGATAACAACTTGTACAGAAAAATTACCTAGAACTTGCCTCATATCCAACCAATGACTTAGAACCCTTATGGGGCAGGAACATTCACAGGCCCTGTAACTACCAAATGTTAAGCAGCTTCTGTCTGTGCCAAGCATTGAAATCATAAAGACAAAATTTATTTTAAAAGGACACAGATCTAAGGCCAGGTCCAGGTTGTTGCTGTTTTTGAAACATCCTTCAATCACACAGGAATTCTCTGTTCGAAATTTTAAATGCTGATGGAAGACTTAGAGAGATCATGCAAATGCAAGACAACAACTTTACAAGAGCAGAAATAGGAAATTAAACCATAATTTAAAATTGACTAGTCAGTCCCTGTTGTTCAATGAATCCCTTTTGCGACAAATGTGACTTATTGTTCACATCATTCACACCTGCAAGAAATATTTTTACTTAATTGCTAACACAGTTTTAAAGTAAACACCAACAGAATTCTTGTGAAATCAGAGCACATAAGATTAAGGAACTAAAGAAATAAATATCTTTTGTTCATCACTTTTTACAAAGGTTACCAAAAGAGCAAAGAAATTATTCCTTGACCACATCAATTACTACCTACCGATCATTTTGATATCAAAGAGCAAAAGAAATTCAACTCTAAGCTGAAGAGTAAGACAAAGAATTAAATTATTACAGTAAAAATGTAAGTCACTGGGGTGTGTGTGTGTGTGTTTGTGTGTAAGCCCAAATTCAGAATCCATGTTAAAACACTGCATATCCAGATTAACTGAACAAGAAAGTAAATCAGAGATATGAAAAGTCATCCAATGTGACCCAACACATAATAAAACTTCCTTAAAGTATTATTTCAATATTCATGTGTGTGTGTGCATGTGTGTGTATATATATATAATTTTTTTAAGAAAAGATGTGAAACATTCTGTAGCCTTATAAATACCAAAAGTACTATTACCAGTCACATCCAAGGAATAAATAAAATGAAACACTACTCAGAGGCATTACCACACACACACACACACACACACACACACACACACACACACACACACACACCTAGTATCTGGGGACAGGGATCCCTCAGAAGATGCTCCGTGGTACACACTCTGAGACAACCTGTTGTCGGGTCTGAGCTCTTTGTCATACGCCATCATATTCCACTCCTGGCGCCTGTTTCTGGCTTTTCTAACCTTTTTCACCTCACGGGTTGTGCCATCTATACGTTTTTGCTCCTGAAGTCCAAGAAAAGAAAAGCAAGCATGCCGAGACAGGAGAGAAAGGACAACAGGTTAAATGCAGTTATAATGCTCAGGACACAAGCATGATGTGCAGATAATGTCAGAAAATTCTAGCACAGTGTCTACTCCTATCCAACACAGACCCCCCAAAAGTAATAAATACTTAACTATTTAACCCAATAAATGAAAATTATTCTGCTGCAACTACCAGAATTACTATCATTTTTTAGTAATTGCTTCAGCAAATTTTCATCTTACTAGGCGTTTAGCTGATTTTAAATATAACTTTTAGATGTATAGTATACAGATAAAATGTCCAATGGCACCATACAGATAAATCATTTCCCACCCCTACATAATTTTGACTGACTTAACTTACAATTAAAAAAAAAAATTCAAAATGTTCTTTTTCCAGTTCCTACAAGAAATATTTAAGCTAATCCTGCAATGAGCTAAACCCAAAACAAAAACAAGGCACGAACTTACCTTCCCATACAAAGACTCATTCTTGCCCCAGCCCTACTTTGCCAGCAAAAATGTATCCAATAAACATGTAGGTACTTCTTTAAAGGTGAGAACAATTATTTCTGTTGTTTATAAATTTTTCCTGGTTCCCTCATAAAATGTTATGATCTCTAAGGACAAGAACTATGTGCTCTAAGTTCTATACTCCTTTTACAGTCCTTCCACAAGTGATTTACCTAGAGTGCACACACAATCAATGCTGACTAAATGGCCAAATCCAGGTGAGCTTAGAGAATTTGCTATGGCATCGATGATACAAAAGGAAAACAACAACAATAACAACAAAAAGAAGTGTGTATTCCCTCGCGAAGCCTGTAGTCCAGTTGGGGAAGCCTACAAAATCATAGAAATAAATGTCTAATTATAATAAAATGCAGTAAAGCATATATGCATCACGTGTAGAATGCTGTCTCAGCTGGAAGTCAGGGATAGCGTCCAAGAGTGAGAGGGAAGACCTACCTGTGAGTGGCTTGGACTGCAGGGAGCCCGTCAGAGCAGCTAAGAGGGGACAGAGTGGGCATGGGCTCCAGCAGGAGGAAGAACACACTTAGGAGAAATGAAAGAAGGTGAGGTGCAAATGACGGTTAATGGCCCCAAAGAGCTGAAAGATAGGCAAGACCTTAAAGGCTACGTTTAAAATGTTTTTGTTTGTTTTTTATCTCAGGAACAGTGGGAAAGCACTGAAGAATAAGAAGGGAAGGGCTGACAGATTGAAGAAGAAGAGGCATTTGAAAAGATCCTTCTAGGCTGGGGAGCACAGACTGAAGGAGAAAGGTAGAAACACCAGTCAGAAAGCTATTCAGGTTGTCTAGTGAGGATGGTAGGCAGCTCATGACGGCAGTGAAGACGCACGATTAGATGGTTTTCGGGTGAGGAGGTACAATGTATTGGCAAAGAAGGTAAACGTGAAATTCGCAGAACATAAATAAAGGGTTAATAAAGATGAATAGATGTGCAATGCAAGTTAGATTTTTTTGGAGGGAAGGAGGGCTCATAAAAAAAGACAATATCCAGGACTGGAGGAGGCCTGTTAAGAGTATAAACTGGTTCAGTGTTTTAAGGGTCAGGAGCAATAAGATGGTATCTCTCAAAATTTAAAACTCACATTCAACTTCCATGAATTTGCTCTGAAGAAATATCTGCATGTGAGTACAGGGATATCTACTACAGTATTGTAAGAGTAACAATTTAGAAACAACCTAAATCTTCCTTATTCTAGTTATGGGCAAATAGTTTATGAAAACTATTAAAATGCTACCTAACTTCATAAAAAGAACAAAGTACATCTTTACTTATGGCAATATATGTGTATGCCTGTATGTATAAGTTGCATATAGTACAATTCTATGCATATAAAAATATTTTGTGAAATGTATATGCATATATTTGTGAACTGAAAAAAATCTAAATCTAAAAATATGTGTGCCAAGCTGCTAAATGTTAACATAGTTATGCCCATGGAAGAAAAACATATCCCCAAATTTTCTAAACTAATGCATAATAGTTTAGTATAATTTGAGCATTTCACAACTTGCATGTATTATTTGTATACTTACACACACACACACCCACCACCACCACCACCACCACCACCACTACCAACAACAACAACAACAAAAAGGAGGGAGATTTCAATGGATTCCAATACACATCCTAATTAAGAACCACTGTATTAAATTAATTAAATTATCCCCTTACTTTTAAGAGATGAATGCTAACATATTTAGGGACTGTTATAATAACTCTCTTTACAATAATTTAGCCTCCAAATTTACCCATCAATCTGCACACACCACACACACGTATGACATGATGTTAACAGTGATGCATCTATGCTCCAACTGCAGTGGCCTACATTCAAATCTCTAGAAAATGCCAAACTATTCCCTAGACCAGAATGATCTTAGTTACTTTAGAAGCATTTCACCTCCTCTGCCCTCCAATCCTCCAGCACCCTCTCACGTACATGTGCTCACACATGCGCCCACAAACACACCTGCACCCACACACTGACTTGAGCTAACTTCCATCCATGGGTGGATCTGTGAGATACCCCGAGGCTGTCCTAGACACTCCACTTCGTCTCTGTCATCCCCACCTTGTCTTCTCATCCCCAGCACAGATACTTCTCCTTCACAACACTTACCAGCATTGTAACTGCATACTTCCAACTACGTGTTAATTTGCATAATTTAAAAAATGTTTTTAATGGATTTCTCACACCCAAATTTTCTAAACAAATTTTTCCTTCATATAGACTTGTCAATACCAAATTGAAAGTCACTTGCTATCCAGAAACCCCAGAGGATTTCCAGAATGAAGGACATCTTGCCTTATTTTCTGCTCCTATGTAAAGGAGATTTGTATTAGAATTTCTAATTTCTTTCCCTCTTTACGAGTTCCAGAGAGTTGCATAATTATTTAATGCTTGTTTCCCCCACTCTATTGCAATCTCCATGAGGGTGGTAATCCTATAATTTTCACCGCTGTATATCCAGCATTAAAAGATTTTTTTTTTTTTTTAAAGAGAACCTTAGAAGCATGGAACACTGTCGAATCTCAGAAGGAAAGCAGGGTGAGAGTGGGGAGGGAAGAGATCAACCAAAGAAGTTGAATGCATAATCAAGGATGCAGACAATATAGGATGGTGAAGGCCTAGGATGGGGAGCAGGACTATAAGGGGTCAATGAGGGAAAAAAGAGACATATGTAATACTTTCAACAATAAAGATTTAAAAAATCATTATATAAATGAATGAATAAAAAATCCTTATCAGAATTTTATGTGTTTGAACAATGTGGAATGAGATAAAACTGCCAAGGATATAACTAAATTTGATGACACAATAATCATACATAGATTATGACAGTTTTCCCCTGAAGAACACTAGTGAAAAATTAAATATTTTTTGCCAAAAGTATCACTGAGAAGGGAAACCTAGAAGGTAATTTAAAAGGACTTTTGCCTGGTTACTGCCAAGAAGTGTGGGGATTAAGACTAACATGACTAAGTATCTGTTTCTTTTCTGTCCCAGAGAGTGGGGTCTTTCTTTTTTCCACCTGAATACTTCGTAGTTTCTTGGCTTGAATAATCCTTCATTTGAGAACTCAGCAACTCTTCCAAGATTTCCCAATTAATCCCAACCCATGAGCACAAGAAAAGAGGAAACCAAGCCTTTGGAATTCTCTCCTAGAATTCAGTGGTAACATCTTACACTTAGAGTCTGCAAATGGTTATCATGTACTCTGTTGTAAATCCTAGTTTCAAATTTCAAATTAGCTTCCATCTCAAATTATCTCCCCTACTGAGCTAAGACAATGCCTCAAAATCTTAAGACCTCAAACCCACAAAAAGATAAGCATTTCTCTTAACTAAAGCACTCTAATATTTCTCAAGGAAACCAGATGGTCATTAAAAAACAAACAAACAAACACATAGCTTACATATAAAAAGTCTTAGCAAATATTAGCCTTTGGAGAATTAACTCTTCTCAGTGGCTTAAGCCTAATTTCTGGACCCTGAAGGAACAATTTTCAAAATATAAGTCCCCACACCTCCAGAGAGTGAGCTTGCCCCTCCAAGAGTGCTCACAACCTCAGAAGTGCTTCTCAACCTTCAGACTTGCAGGGACCTTGCCTCCCTCCACCCACCACAGGAGCCTCACATCTAGTAGATACCATCGTCTGAACTTGCAGAACACACGCTTTTCAATCCAATATGAACAGCTCACTAAAGCATTAATTACAGCTAGGTGGCAATCCAGCTTTAAAATGATGGAAGCAAATAATTATTTCTGATATGGAATACTGACTGCTTTATGAAACTTGAAAGAACAGGAGAAAAATTCTAAAACATGGTTACAAATAAAACTGAAATTTTAGCCACTACTTTTGTGAAAGCAAAGCAAGTGTTAGAGAACAAATCAAGAGTATTTACCAAAAGATAGTATTACTGTGTTAAACTGACTTGTCTGTATCCTCCTGTATAAACTACAATCTCTAAAAATCCTTCCTCACTAAATCCAACATTTCAACCATTCAAGTAAAGAATTTACTTATTGCTTTCCAAACAAGAATCTATTTACACATATATACACAGTTCTCCTAAAGGAATTATTTACCTTTTGACGCCTTTTCTCTTTCCTTTTGTCTTCTGTGTCCTGTAACATTTTTTCTTTCCAGAGGTCAAAGAAATAGGAAGGATCAGTATAGAACTTCAGCCCATCCTTTTTATCATCTCTAAAAATCAAGATATTACAAGTCAGGGGGGAAAAAAAGACTGTTAGATATCTTCATATGGGAATAACATAATTTTTTTTTTTTTAAGAGAGAGAAACATCGATGTGAAAGAGACAGATTGATTGGTTTCCTCCTGCACATGCTCCGACCAGGGCTGGGAATGGAGCCTGCAACCGAGGTGTGTGCCCTTACCTGGAATTGAACCTGGGACCCTTCAGTCTGCAGGTCAACACTCTTTTCAATGAGCCAAACCTAATTCACTTTTAACTCATGAGATTATAACATCTTCAGGGGGGCATTTTAACTGTCCTATACAGTATTAAGTTTCTCAGATTTTCTTACTTGAAAAAAAGGTGTATTCAAGAACATCAACTTTTTCTAGAATAATCAGGTAAAAAAGTACTCTTGCAAAATTAGATTTAAATATAGAAAAGTACTCCTAAAAATCACAATATGGCTCAGAAACAGTAATATTCAATATGTCAATTACTTTAGGAAATGATCTGTTTATTCCAATAGGGGGCTATCTATACAGAAACAGATGGATTCTTTACACATATTTACTTTTACTCTGGAGTGTCGATGTTATGAGGATAAAGATTAGTTAAGTATTTTGTCCCCTTTACTCAATGAGTTTTGCCCAATATCTAAAAATTCATTTAGAAAAAAAGAAAAATATTCCTAGTGTGTAAATGTGACTAAGAAAAACAGTAAAGAAATATTTTTAAAGTGGAAGTAACCAACAAAGAAAATTCACTTGTAGTCATTTCATTTTCAGGCACTGCTATAATTACTATGGTCTAGAGAATATTTTAAGTCTTTGTATAAGTTATTCATTAAAATAATGCAGCCAACATGATTTCAAAGTATAATATAAATCAATAGTATATCTAAAACTAATCATGACATGAAGTAAATACTCTTGTCTATCAATGCTTTAAAAGGATCTGGCCTATAGAGGAAGAAAAATACATTTCAAATCGGTATTTCATTAAGTCATTTAAGGCACAGAGAGGAAGCAAAAATTAATGAAATAAGTATAGGAAAGTGTTTATGCTCAAATAATCAAAGAAAGCTAAGTGAATTATTCAAGGGGCAAAGCCATCTGTTCTTGTATCTCCTGCTCTGCCATGTTCTGTAAACTCTTCATCAAATGATAAAAGGCCTAGTACCTCGGAGGGCTATTCTGGCCACTCTCTGAAAACCACTAACAAACCAGTGCATTGTACTCTATGCTTTAACCTCAGATTACTTAAAATCCTTTCTTTGCCAAATTTCTAACTGATAAGCAACGTGCAGTAAGAAATTTCATTAATAACATTATTGTGAAAAACATAATTTGTTTCCCTAAATACTAGACCTTCAATATTGATAAAAATATAGAAAAATTTTTTGAACTTGCTGCAAAATTTAAGATGTACAATAAATTCACATTTTAAAAGAATGAAGCTAATACTTAAAAGAGGCCAGAAACTCACATAACTAAACAAATATTAACCCTGACATAAAACATAAGAAGAAATATCCTATGTTCAAAGAACTGAACACTTGGTTTTTCAGTCACATTGTACTTCTCATATATTAACTATGTTAGGACAGTGTCATACTTAAGCTCAAATGCAAAAGTTTGTGCTTTATATACCCCAAATATTACTGTATTGAGCAAAAAAGAAAACAGAAAGAGAATTCATGGACATGGACTATAGTGTGGTGATTACAGGGAGGGGGAGGAGGAGGAGAAGTGGAAATAGGAAGGATCAGTATAGAACTTCAGCCTATCCTTTTTATCATCTCTACTAGAGGCCAAGTGCATGAAATTCATGCACGAGGTAGGAAGGTGTCCCTCAGCCCAGCCTGTACCCTGTCCAATCTGAGACCCCTTGAGAGATGTCCCTCTCACAATCCAAGACTGCTGGCTACCAACTGCTCACCTGCCTACCTGCCTGATTGCCCCTAACTCCTTCTGCCTGCCAACCTGATCATCCCCTAAGCACTCCCTTGATAGCCTGATCAGTACCTAACTGCTCCTCTCCTGGTCCAATTACCACTAACTGCCCTCCCCTGTCTGGCCACTCCTAACTGCCCTCCCCTGCTGGCCTGGTTCCCCACAACTTTCCTCCCCTGCAGGCCTGGTCCCCCCAACTGCCCTCCCCTGCTGGCCTGATCTTTCACAACTGCCCTCCCTTCTAGACTTGGTCTCTCCCAACTGCCTTCCCCTGCAGACCAACCTTGTGTTAGCCATCTTGTGTTCACATGGGGGCAGTCATCTTTGACCACATGGGGGCAGCCATCTTGTTTGTTGGAGTGATGGTCAATTTGCATATTACTCTTTTATTAGATAGGATAAATCAAGATATTATAAGTCGGGGGGGGGGGAAGACTGTTACATATTTTCATATGGGAATAACATAATTAAATTTAAAATATTTTAAAAAGTACATTTAAATTGGCACTGCTATTCTTAAACACACTATAAAAAAAGTCAAGGAGATTTTTATTTTCATAAAACTGAATATACACATACAATCCTATATAGTAAAGAAGTAATATGCAAATTGGCCATCACTCCAACACACAAGATGGCCACCCCCATGTGGTCAAAGATGGCCAGCAGGGGAGGGTTGGGAGGGACCAGGCCTACAGGAGAGGGCAATTGGGGGTGGCCAGGCTGGCAAGGGAGGGAAGTTAGGGGTGACCAGGCCTTCAGGGGAGGGCAGTTAGGGGCAATTGGGTCAGCAGGGGAGCAATTAGGTATCGATCAGACTGGCAGGAGAGTGGTTAGGAGGTAATCAGGCTGGCAGGCAGAAGCGGTTAGGGGCAATCAGGCAGGTGAAAGTTTGGGAGCCAGCAGTCCTGGATTGTGAGAAGGATGTCCGACTGCCCATTTAGGCCCATCGGGATTGGGCCTAAACGGGCAGTTGGACATCCCTCAAGGGGTTCCAGATTAGAGAGGGTGCAGTCTGGGCTGAGGGACACCCTCCTTTGTGCATGAATTTTGTGCACAGGCCTCTAGTGTGTGTGTGTGTGTGTGTGTGTGTGTGTGTGTATGTCAATTTGTTTTTTATGCAATTAAAATTTTAAGATCATCACAAATATTTCATCTTGTTCCTAATTATTCACATATAACTGTTTAGTTGAGCACAAGCAAAATTACTAGTTAAAACTTCAGGATTACAATACCCTATTTACATATATCATTGATTTTAAATACATGGGCTAAAGCTTCCAGAAAAATATCCTTGTTCCTTAGAAAAATGTAGCATCAGATGTGAAAACATCAGTGTTTCCATGGGTTCTCATATTTTTTTTTGAGAGAGAACCTTTCTCCCCTTCCTGAAAGAAAGGGATGTAGCAGGAACTGCTGCTTTGCCAATAGAGCTAGAGGTCCAAACTGGACCATGAGAAGGTGCAGGAATTCAGACCAAGAAAAACTCTGGGAACCCCTGAGAAGGACCAATGGCCTACGAAGGCAGTAAAAAGAAGCTAAAAACTCACTGAAATCTGAAAGGCGTGGGTAAGACTATCACCCACAGGCTAATCCTGGAGGCAGTGAGGACTACCCCCCACCACTCTCCTTCATTCCTTCAGCCTCTGAAGGTAAAAAGATGGGAGAGGAACTCGATGTGCAATGAGAAAGCATATGAAAAAGAAAAGGGAGACAGAAAAGAAAGTGACAGGAAATATGGAAAGAAAGCACATGTTATGGGAGGTAGTATAGGTGTTGTAGAAAGCATAGTTTCTTAATGTTAATTTTTGCACTATTTGTTTTTCATTCTTTTTCCTGGAAGTCTGGTCTTAATAATGTGTCCTACATTTTACAATAACAGAAAGTTAATTTGTTAACTATACTTTCACTCCTGAAAACCCCAAATGCTGCAGAATACATTTTCCTAAATTAACTAACAAATATCTCTGCAGGGCTGAAATGCTGAGACAGTTATTTTGCTGCATTCTAACTGATTATGAGGTCCCTTTAAGAGTGACTTTGAATATGAAAAACAACATAAATATACACAGTACTGTTATGTAATAGCTCACTTCCACTTATGATGTCTACATTTAAAAGCTAATATTAGAACTCACACTTCTCTAGATAAGTTTATATTTTGAAATATTAACACTTTAACGATACTGTGCCAATGACTAATTTCACTGTAATACTGCAGTTATCTTCAAAGTTTGAAAGATAGTTTCACAGTACTGTCACCCTCTTTCAACTTATCAATACTGACAAGGCCTGGGAACCCCTGAGGCCATACCTGTATGGTGTCAGGATGTTCAGAGGAGGTGGTTTATCACTCTGGTTGTAGATGTCAGCTACAGGGTTAGGAATGCTGTTCTTTGAAACCACCTGCTGGTCTTGGACTGTGGAACTTTTGAAAGCTTTTTTCATGTTGATATCCTGCAGTGACACTATTTAGAGAAAAGTCCCCAAGTTGAGTAATATGAAGATAGTTAAATTGTTTACAAATAAGTACAATTTTAGTCACAATCATAAACATCTCCTAGAATAATCAAATAATGTTATTTTCATTTAAAGACATGCTAAGGTAGCATGAACTCCTTCCCTCTCATCAATCACAGTGACCTCTGTGAAGGCGTGTCTTTCTTCTTTTGTAGCGATCTAACTACTCCACTGAACCTAATATTATAGCATTGTTATTCATTTAAATAGTATTCATTTAAATAGAAATCACACAGAAATATAGTTATGAGTATAAAAGTCATGTAATAAATAGATATGGGCATCCTTGTGGAGGCATTAGTACAGTTAATACTATTTAATTATAATACATGTAGGAAAGATTTCTGCAGAAAATGTAAAAAAAAAAAAGGCATTACTTTTTTCTGACACTATCATTAAAGAGAGACAGCAAAGCTTTTCAACACACAGTCCTAGAAATTATATACATGATACAAAACTAAACTAAGGAGTAAGAGAATCAAGGCTGATTATGCTTACTTACTTCTTATGTTTTTACAACTTTATAGCTCATGTACTAACTCATCTGACTTTGAGACAAGCTTTCTGAGGTGGGCAAACTGGCCCATTAACCCACTTGACCAAGGAAGCTGAAACTCGGATATACTATAAAATCTCATAAAATTTAACCCACATGTTAATCTTTTCCAGTATAAGGTTTCTCACAAGACTTTCCATGGTAAGAAAAAACAAACAAACAAACAAACAAACAACAACAAAAACACAGAAACCTGAAGAAAGGTAAATATTTTTAAATCACTTTAATAGCAATCTGAAGGGTGAATGATTGGTCTAAGATGTTAACAATTCCTTCTCTAAATAAACCAAACAGGTATTAAAATTTTAGTTTTTTACAATAAAAGATTAATTTTAAAAATAAGATTAAAAATTTCCACTATTTTTGTTGGAAAAGGCAGTTAAATTTAAGACATTAAAATTTAAATGTTCTACATTTTTGTTAAATTTCTAATTCACTAGTTTAATTCTGACCTTTGAAAAAGACATTTTTAAATGAGAGATGACTTCCACAAATAACTACATTAAAAAAAAAACCTTCACTTTTTACTACTACTACTACTACTACTATAAGTCTAGTAGAAAAATCAGATGCTAGGATCATTTTAACGCAATAAGAGAAACTATACCATTATACGAAGGTAAAAATAATTCTTAAGTTGAACATTTTTCTCAAAATAAACATGAAAGGGCATTTTTTTTATACCTTTTTACAGATTCCCCCCATCCCCAGTCTAATCTCAATCCTTCACGCAAAAGATAATGAAAGTGAAATTTTAAAAAAGGAATTAAGTTTTTTGTTGAAACTGCCACAATTTCAGGGTGCATCATTAAAATGATTACAGTTAACTAACTACACAGTGCTTGCCAATATGAACATTATTTTAAGACCCTAAAGTCTGAAGGCTTTCAGTAAATGCTGTTTCTAAGAAGTTAAACCATCAAGATTATTTAAAAGCATCAACCCTAACAAGAACACGGGGTGGAAGCCTTCACTCTGCACACTCAGTATATACTACATGCCCTCTTATCAAAATCTTTGGATTGATTCTGTAATTTTTAGGTAAGAAAGTATCTTTAAAATAACTACTAATAGCCTAAATTAGGACTTTTAATACTGAATGCAGAAAAAAAAAATCCTTTAAAACAAATACTAAATGGGTAAATTAAAAAAAAAGAGAGAGTATGGCATATGAGATACGACATGATATGAATCTCTTTTTTTTTAAATAAAATTTTATCGATTTCAGAGAGAAAAAAAAGGAGACAGAAATATCAATGATGAGAATCACTGATCAGTTGCCTCCTGCATGCCCCACAATAGGGAACGAGCCCGCAACCCAGGCATGTGCCCTGAACGAGAGTCAAAGAGTGACCTTCTGGTTCATAGGTTGATGCTCAGCCACTGAGCGATATGAATCTTTTAATTGCAAATTAACCCAAAGTTGTGGGCTGTCCCCCCTCACTATTCTTCTAGCAAGAGACAAGATGAAATATCAGCGTAGTAGCCCAAGGAAAAAGCAGTAATTGCCCTGCAATTAATTACTATTGTCTTGTCAAGATCACTGCTAGCTCATTGCTTTTGTGCAATTACATACCCTCTTCCACTGTCGAATCCAGCTGGGTAACTTTGACAGCAAGGCGATCAATTCTGTCTTGAAGAGAATTTGCTCTGATATAAAAGTTGTTAGCCTCATTAAACAACTCACCAAATATGTCTTCAGCATGTTTGCCTGTAGGAGAAAATGAATGGAGAGAGCCATCTGTTGAGGCGGCCTTCACACATTCTCACACTGCCGATTACTGTTAACACAGGGATTTTGTGCAAATGATTATAAAAATAGAGTGTCACAGTCAAGGCCTTTAGAAGTTTTGAACATTTATTAGGGCTGTACACATATCTGAAACTGACCCACAGTTGTAAGAATTTTAAAACCCTGCAGATAGTACAGAATTTTTATTTAATTGCTACATGAGCTATCATGCAGTTTGTTTCCCATTAAACTTGTAAAAAAAAAAAATTACTCCAATTTTGCATGCTTTTTGTATAAATAGAATCTCAGTACCTAAATTTTCCTTTTACTTCCACGGATAATTCAATAAATCATGTTGGTTTCTAAATTTAGGATTTTATCTTATTCACAATTAGAAAAGTTAGGTATCTTACATTGCGCCTGACACTTTCAAATGGCATTAAATTGTTCTAGTTCATATTTTAAAATCTAAATACTAGTATATAGTGCTGACTCTGGAACTTTCAAAAAATCAGTATTTTGTATTCTGAGTTAAATTGTTCTGTATGTATCACTTCTATATTCTTGTGAGTGCTAGACACAACTAATTTCCTTAAAGTGTAATTAATACATTTCTGAAAATCTGACAGGCAAGGAAAAAAGTCTGCCTATGTTAAATTTCCAGATTCTAACACCATTTGTTTACTCATTCAACAAACATCTAGTCTGAATGTGCCAGGCACATCTGCATCCTATCTCCTCTGACAGAGATGCTACTTAAGATAATAAACTTTCTTTTTAAGAACAGTTTTAAGTTCATAGGAAATATGCACAGTTCCCCCCAACATCCAGGACCAGAGTGGAACATCCTATATAATAAGGAGGTAATATATATGTTGATCATCACTCCAAAACCCAAGATGACCTCTCCCATGTGGACACAAGATGGCAACCACAAGATGACCAGCAGGGGAGAGCAGTTAGGGGCAACCAGGCCTGCAGAGGAGGGCAGTTGGGGGGGACCAGGCCTGCAGAGGAGGGCAGTTGGGAGGGACCAGGCCAGCAGGGGAGGCAGTTAAAGGCAACCGGGACAGCAGGGGAGCAGTTAAGTGTCCATCAGGCTGGCAGGCAGAAGCAGTTAGTGGCAATCAGGAAGGCATGCAGGCAAGCAGTTGGGAGCCAGCAGTCCTGGACTGTGAGGGATGTCCGACTACCCTTGAGAGATCCCAGATTGGAGAGGGTGCAGGCTGCGCTGAGGGACACACACATCCACTCCCCTTACACGAATTTCATTCACCGGGCCTCTAGTTTGTTATAATTGATGAACCCACATTGAATCACATGGTTTGCTCCCTCACCTCATCTAGGTCTACCCAAACATCAAAGTGAGACTTTCTCTAACAACTGTAGCTAATTGGCAACACCTCCCCCCCCCCCCCCACACACACACCATCCCTTCCCTGCTCTAATTTTCTCCTTAGCACTTACTTATTCATCTTGTTTCCTGCCTATCTCCTTCCACTAGGCTGTAGGACCCAAGGAAATAAGAGCTCTCCTCTGATTTGTGCATTGCTGTACCAATCAATCACCAAGGTGTAGTATATGCCTGGCTTGAGAAGGTGCCCCCAAACATTTTGGAATAAATGAATAAATAATATATTAAATTAATTCTTCAGGATAAGGATTAGGGTGTGCAAGATCAGATGCCCCTCTCTGTGTTCTCACAATACCATAAGCATGCCTCAATCGCAGGACTAATCACAGAATTCTAATCTTATCTATTTACAGAAGTTCTTTGAAAATATGCCTCTTATTTCTGCATTGTGCTAAGCCAGTGCCCCATATTTCTTAAATAAAAGACACAGGGTCTACACCAGTTGTTAATAAGTATACAACCAACAAATGCTCCATGCACAAGTTTGGGAAATGCCGGGCTACAAAGATTTAACATGTTTCTATGCCTTGGGGCATCTCAGAAGCCTTACTATGCTAATGTGTGTTAAGAATCTGCAAGAGAAGCAGCTAGCATATAACATTTTCAAGCTGACTGGGCCTGGAAACACCTAATAACATCTTCCAGAACCACCGTCTTATGAAGCCCATTGGGGAAATGCCTGCCCATTAAGCTGGATGACCTGAAGACAAACACCATTTTCCAAATACTTTATATCCAATAGTTGTTTTGAATGTCAGACATAGTTAAAATGTACCCAACTAATTTTTGTTTTTCTAGTTGATCATTCATAGCTTTAAAAAATTATTACAGCCCTAGCTTATTTGGCTCAGTGGATAGAGCGTGAAGGTTCCAGGTTTGATTCTGGTCAAAGGCACATGCCCGGGTTGTGGGCTCAATCCCCAGTAGGGGGCATGCAGAAGGCAGCCAGTCAATGATTCTCTCTCATCATTGATGTTTCTATCTCTCTCTCTCCCTCTCCTTTCCTCTCTGAAATCAATAAAGAGATATTAAAAAAATTATTACAGTGCAACTCCAAAAAAAAAATCACTTTCCTTTCCCTTTAGCTATGCAGAAATCTAATTAACAGGGACAGTATATGTCACCAGGAATGTGGGAGTATACAATAGTCTCTTGCAAAAGTTATACTAGTATCTTCAAAACACAACAAGTATGGTTAAGAACCACACCCTGGGAGACACTATAGTTGAAAGGTTACATAACAAATCCCTTCTATCTTCAGTGCTTAATCCTATTTGAAAAAAAATTATAGATATATGTATATATATATATATATGCAATTGATATTATAATCCCATTGGAAGTTCTTGATTTATAAAAGAAAACACACACACACACAGAGAATTAAAGACTTTAATATTTAATCTTTTGCCAGCTGCTGAAAGCTGACAAGTGACTAAAAAGAATACTGAAGGAACTATAATTACTGCTGAACAAGAATAAAGTGTTGCAATTACAGTGTTCAGTTTTACAAACAACTTATTTGAAAAGCTTGATTTTAATCACTCTTTCAGTGGTACATCCATTAATAGCTATACTAAAATAATGGAAGACCACACTGAGATAAGTGGAATTCATTCATTTTTTGCTTACCAAGTATCTTCTTATAGATTTGTCAGGCCCATTATGAACTGTGTCCAAGTATGTCAGGTTGAGAAGTATAAAAATTTTGCATGGATTTTAAATTGCATTTAAAAGTGAAGGTTCATTAAAAATAACCAGTATGTTTGTTGTGAGTCCTTTCTGTGGAACAAGAAACCAATCGTGACAAAGTCCTTCAGACATTTTAATACACATAGCTAGCACCTAGCTATTGGGTTGTCAAGATTTTGGCTTATCGTTCTCTATTAAAAAGAAGTAAGATTCTTGGAAAAATGACTGGATATGAGGCTGAGGGGGAAAAAGCACAAGATAAACGTAGACTATCTTGCTGTACTTTTCTTTTTTTAAAAATATATTTTATTGATTTTTTACAGAGAGGAGGAGAGAGGGATAGAGAGCTATTATAGAACCGTCGATGAGAGAGAAACATCTACCAGCTACCAGTAGGGATGTGCCCGCAACCAACGTACATGCCCCTGACCGGAATCGTACCTGGGACTTTTCAGTCCGCAGACCGATGCTCTACCACTGAGCCAAACCGGTTTCAGCTGTACTTTTCTTTAAAAAGTAAATAAGTACTCAGAGATTGGTGGGGACATGGCAGGACACAGAAGCCAGCCTAAAAGGGCTCTGAATGGCCAAATGTGGGAAAATGTGAGCATCAAAATAAATAATAAAGATGATGGATTAAAACCCAGACAATAAATAAGAATCTATGAGTTCATATTGATACAAATAAACGAATGAATGAATAGGGGAAGAAGTACAAACACAACAGTATTCCAACTAATAAATGCAAGATAAATTATGGAATGATCAAAATCACCATTCACTACTACAGTAAGAGTTTTGAGCAAAAATCATCAATGGATACTGAGACTAGTAGGGAGAAGTGGGATGGAAACAGGATATTACAGTCATAGTGTGTCTCCCCGTATATGGAGACACTCAATTATATATGGACAGGGATAGGGGAACCTTTACATTAGAAAACCCTATGAATAAAATGTTAACCAAAGATAAAAGTTAATGTGGGTACTCAAGGGACAAACAGATAATCTGTGCTTCCTCATAAAATGCACTGAGGACGATATCTCATCACTCTGCCATACATAGTCCTGACAATATCCTATATCTAATCATGAGGAAGCATCAGAAGATACAAACCAAGGGACAATCCACAAAAAATAAAGGCCAGTTCCCTTTAAAAATGTTAAGCCACAAAGTTAAAGAAAGACTGAGAGCTGTTTCAGATTAAAGGAGATCTATTAACATGTACATATATATATCTGTATACATATATACACATATGTTGAGGAGATGAAGGAGAAAGAAAGGCAGGAAAAAAAGGTAAGTCTCTGAGGAAAAAGATGTGGTAAAATCTACACTAATAAAAGAGAAAGATGTAAAATGATCATACTTTTGCAACACCCACCAGCCAATCAGGAGTATGCAAATTAACCCAACAAAGATAGCGGGTTAATTTGCATATGCAGGCACCGGAGAGGACGCTGCTGCTTGCTTCGTCACCATGGCAACAACACAGGTGTTCCACACCATCCGGCCTATCCGGGCCTCTGGGCAATGTGGGAAGGCAGAAAGGTGGATCCAGGCCTGAGCAAAGGTAGAAAGGCGGCTCTGGGTCCGGAGCGAAGGCGGAAAAGCGCAGCAAAGGCAGTGCTGGCAGCCAGCGGAAGGAAGGCCCATTCTTGCATGAATCTTCGTGCACTGGGCATCTAGTAATATGTAAGTGAAAGTCTATGTGAATTCTTTGTTGTTCGTCAGCTTTTTAAATGAGTGGTATTATGTCAAAAACGTTTAAAGAAACTTTTTACAGTACTTGTAATAAAGTCCAGTTGCTACCAAATTCCATAAAACAAGTCATAATTAGTGAGTCCTAAGCTTTTTTTTTCTTTTTAAAGTA